GCTAGAACAGAATCACTGACTGTCATGCCCTCCCTCCCCTTCCTCTGCTGAAGGCTCAATAACTACAACAGTAGGATTCTATCACAAAGGCTGAACTCTGCTCTGTATTATATTTTATTTATTTTAGTTTTTTCTCAGGACTGAGGACATGGGACAGAGGGTTAGTAAGCCTGAGGGCTTGCTCACAGCCCAGAGTAGCATTTGGATTTCTCTTTCATTTCCTTCCTTAGTTTCAGGGAAAAAAAAGGGGGCAGCCAGTTATTTGAGAGCCGCCCCCACCAGAGATTAATTCAGAATTGCTATTGGAGGTAAAGTCACGGCCAGAATTATCACAAGTTTACCTTCCAAATCACTGAGCTAGTCCTATTTTTCTGAAGGTCAGTTGCAGGTTTGGGGATATAGGTTTGTGTAACAGGGATCTAGAACTCAGCAGAAAGAGGGAGAAAGGATATTATTACTGGTGGGGAAAAAAGGAAGGACTGGAGCTTCAAATAATGAGAAAAAAAGAAAGGTAGGAAAGGTGGTGGGGGGAAGGAAGAAAGAAAAAAATAGAGTTACAAGGTATCAATTGATCACTTTGAAAGTAGTAATTTTTCTGTCACTTCGGACACTCAAATAAAGACAGAACAGCCTCTGTACTAGTTTCCTACTGGTGCTATAACAAAATATCACACATTTAGTGGCTTCAAATGACACAAATGTATTGCCTTGTGGTTCTAGAGATCAGAAGTCCAACATGAGTCAAAAACCAGTCTCACTGGGCTAAGGATCAAGTAGGGGTGTGTTCCTCCTGGAAGCTCGAAGGGAAAGTCCCTTTTTCTTGCCCTTTTTCATCTTCTAGAATATACCTACACTCCTTCATTAATTTCCATTTCAAATCCAGCAACAGTTTTTGAAGTCTTTCTTACATCCCATCTCTCTGACATTGCCTCTTTTCCACATTTGAAGGACCCCTGTGATTACACAGAGCCCGCCAGGATAATCTAAGATAAGCTCCCCATTTCAAGGTCAGTTGATTAACAACCTTTATTCTCTCTTGCCTGGGACAGTGATATACTCACAGGTTCTGGGAATTAGGAAGCAGGTATCTTTGGTGGGCCATTATACTACCTACCACAGCCTCTCATTAAGAATGTTGCAAAGAGACAGGAGACTGCCAGGCCCTTTAATGTAAAGGTCTTAAGGAATAGGGGAAAAGAGCTATTTCTTGAGAAAAATTTTAAGGTGGATGAAATCTGTTTCCCAGGTAGTGTTTGAGCGCCTTCTAGAGCTCACCTTCCCTCTTGGCATCTACAGGTCAGGCTGGGTTCAGACTGCTATGGGTTCACCAGGGTCTCTAGAACAAATGCAACCTTGGGTTTGTCTGACCTGGGCATGCTTTCTCTTTTCATTTTCTGCTAATCCAATTTTCATATTCCAACTTTCATTTTTTTTCAAAACTCTCCCTTTTTTGTGCTTCCTTCCCCAATATGTGGAATAAATATGAGTGTGAAGTATTTGCGTTCATTTGTCTATAATACTTCTAGAGTGATGCTGGAAGACTTGTTTTTGGGTGTTGGGGTATATGTGTCTTTTGGAGTTGCTTTTAGCCCACTAACCCCACCACATAAATGTGTCCTGCACATAGACAGCCTGGTTTAAAAGTTCAGGGTCATTTGTGCTCAGAAGATAGCTTGGTATGTCTATATAGAGAAACTATTTAAGTATCTTATGAGAGTAACAATTTATAAAACATTCAACTCTGGTGTTGCTATACTAGAATTGTAAGAAGGAACACAACTTTGTCCTGATATCTGGGAAAACTTCTACACACCAATAGGAGAGCCTCTTGTGATGTGTTTTTGTTTTGTTTTGTTTTGTTTTGTTTTTCTTAACTGCTGTTTGGAATGGAAGTATGTATTTTTTTTTTAACTTTTTCATCTTCCCTATCAAATGATGACAATACCTGTCCTAGTACCTCAAAATAAAGAAGGAAAAGATGTGAGCTTGGTATTTTGGCCTCATAAGGATCATTGATACTACAGTGTTCAAGGTGAACAACAATTTTTTTAAGACCCACTACATCTTAAGAATCTCATCAATTATAAGGGCTGACTATAGCAGATAGTTTCCCATAAATAGAGGCAAATGTAAGAAGAATCTCATAATCTCAGGAACAAGATTGAATATGAACAGCCCAGGGTCAAGGTATGGAGGGTGAGTCATGTGCCTTTTTTCCCACTCATCTCCTTTGCCAGTTGAGAATCCATGGTGAGCAGTCAGAGGAGAGGTAGATCTAGAGAGTCTGTCCATCTCCAGGCGGCATTCTTTCTCAGAGTCCTGAGGATGAAGGCAGCATTAAGCCATATGGGAAAGTGATAGGCAAGACATACATGTACAAAGCTTTTCAAGCAGACATGTTACTGTTATGGGATGAAAGAGATAGAGGTGAAATATCAAGTTTAGATGACCCAGAAGTAGAGTGAATTTCCCTGAAAAAGGCTGAAAACAGGGGTCACGAAGTCTTCATGCAAAACTCCCCAGTATGGGGCTACATGGGTAAGGTAGCCTAATGACCTCATATGAAATAGCCCATGAGACCTGCTGTTCTTTTAAAATCAAGATTGTACTTCCAACTCCTAGTAGATGGATCAAAGACATAGGACTAGTTCAAGTAGCCGGACTAGTCACACACTAGTCACACATACTTGGTCGATGTTCATTTCTCTTCTTCTAGAGAAGCGTTCAGAATATCAGAGTGCATGCTGGAAAATACCATTTCCAGCATTTAACCAGATTAACCAGAAAATCATGGCAGCAAAAAGTTTAAGGACAAAATCAAGAGAAGGAAGACTAGTTGCTTATGGACACACCCTCAGTTCCAAAATGATTAACCCACTAAGTTTCGAAGAATTTTCTAAGTCAACCTCAGACACAAACCTGCCAGAAGGCAGGCCCTGACACACACTGAACTTGAGCATATGGTCTCTTAGTGGTGTGCTCAGCTGTGGGAATGTGTAAGAAAATAGGCCCTGATAATTAAAACAGCACATTTGTTTATAAGCATAACTTGATCTGGACATATTGCTAGCAATTTTAAGATTTTTTTTTTATTTATTTATTTGACAGACAGAGATCACAGGTAGGCAGAGAGGCAAGGCAGAGAGATGAAGGGAAGCAGGCTCCCTGCCGAGCAGAGAGCCCGATGCGGGGCTCGATCCCAGGACCCTGGGATCATGACCTGAGCTGAAGGCAGAGGCTTTAACCCACTGAGCCACCCAGGCACCCCATTGCTAGCAATTTTAGCCAGTGCATTGTTTCTTTCAGGACTAATTATCGATCTGAATGTGAAATACATTCTAAATTATTTCTCTCACTAAGTCAGGAGAGTAAATGCTTTCTGTTGGGTGATGAATAGGTTCAAAGTTCTCTCGGGTCATTTTGAATTGTGTAGGTGGAAATCTGGATACAGGATGACACTGGAGACAGTCACCAGTGGTAACTCTTTCAGTCTTGAAGGATTTCAAGGTTTTAAAGGCATTTTGTGACCCTGAATGATCAGTGTCCTCCCACACAAGGCTACCCAGATATTTAGGGTGATTGCTCACTAATCAAGTAATCTGCATTTCCAGATATCTACTTGGACCCATAGGAGGAATGATGAGTCTGGTTTTCAAGATCACGTGACTTTGCCAATTCTGTCATCTCGCCTTTTGCCATTTTCATCCCTGATTGTATAGACATGGAGGAATTTCATTTAGATGCCTGACCTGAAGCGAATGTCTCCAAATGTGTATCTAGCCTTTGGGGGAAAAGCACTGCAGAAGGCTTTACCCTTGTGGGATGAAAGTCTAACTCGTGGAATCACAGCAGGAGTGCTTCAGAATTAAATGTCCCCAAAGAGCAAAGCAGGGGGAAAATAGCTCTTCCAAGAATTAGTAGGCATTCTTCTAAAAAGTCCCATGAGACCTTGTGAGAAGACACATTTCCTATTTATTTGCAATCCTTGATTCTAGAAATACATGGGGCTCACGGCATGGACAAATGGCTCAAATCATCCTCATCAAAAAAGAACACTAAAGGAAAACCAGCTCTAAATCACAGTTTGAAAGATAGACACCTCTAACTTAAGTTTCAATTGCCACGTGGTAGGACATGAGACAGCTGCAAACTGTGTGCCTAATGGTTATGACTTCAGATCACGTTGGGATATTGATCAGGAGGTCACGTGATGCCTTGGTCTATACCTGGGCTTGGGGGACTGGCAGCCTGAGTGACAGTTTATCCTGGAACATAGAGTCAAAACAGTTGCCACCTTCTGGACAGAAAACGTTTTCTAGGCTTTAAGTTCTCTGATGAATACCTTAATATTTAAATACAAATACTTAATACTAAGGCATGATATATTCTTCTCCGGTGAGTGCTCAGATTACAAGAGAATGGTTTCCTTTCATTCCCCTATTATTTAAACATTATTCAATACATTTGACACTCATTTAAAAACCTATTGCATTTGTACTTGGCTCAAATTAAGGTGCTGATTAAAGAGCCGCTCTTTACCCCCTAATGCAGATAGATCCATGCACCTCAACATACAACGATGGAAATTGATTTTCTGCCACATATCATAAAATAATCAGGGAAATACAACATAAAGCAAATATTTACCCCCATGGGGAAAACGAAGCTCAGTTTTCCTAATGGACATCAGCAAAATCCACGGTTTAAATTACAGATTAACAAAGGACTCATGAGCTCAAAATTAAGTTATTCTGTTTAAAATCAATCACTGAAACTGTCATTCTGCTTATTGCTTTGACTTCCTAACAAAGGTTTAAATGAAGACTTTATGTGCAAGTAGAGAACGTCAAGAGATCTGCTCTTTTTCAGACCTGCGTAGGCTGGAGGAGCAAACGTTTAGGCTATTAATGTAATTAGAATGAGGAATGTATTTTTCCAGGAAAAAAAAAATCTTTCAAAAAAAAAAAAATTCCACAAATCCACAATTAATCTATTATCTGCAGTGGGGGGAGAGAACAGTAAGGAGTAGAAGGTGGGGTACAAAAGCCCTAGATGCACTGATACCAGAGCCATTCTGGGAGCGCCAGGCAGGAAATCTGGAATTACTCTAACTTTTCTTTGCAGAGGCAGGCACCAGAACTGGAGAAAAGGGTCCAGAAAGACGACTGCCTTCTCTAGTGAAGTATATTCTGATTGTGGTGTTAAGAGCATTTTCGGTCATTCGGCTTCATGTTGGGTCACCACTCCAGCACCGAGCAGCTCCCCAATGGCCCTGTCATCATATCCAAGGACCTCCTTCAGGATGTGCGTGGTGTGCTGCCCAAGCAGGGGGGGCGGCCTGGCCTCTGACATCTGGAACTTACTGTATCTCACAGCTGGGCCTGTCAAAAAGAGAGGAAAGTTAATGACTAACCCTAGGAAAATCATTACCCAAGCAGCCTGGGGTGTTTTCAATGAATGCCAAAAATATCACTGCCAGTTACAAAATGGTGGCACATTTTGGAAAGAAATCTATTTTTACATGAAGTTCTCTTGACTCGGACTCATCCAGCTGTGCGGTGGTCATCTGACCTGCCCATGTGGGAATGGGGGGTGGGGGACATGTATGTGCCTGGTGTATGCCAGTCCCACGCATAAGTGGCCAGTACTGTCACCAAGAATCTCAGAGGTTGTTCACTCAACTGGGTTGACTCTCTGCATCCAAAAGAACAAGGACCACAGGTACACGTTGTCTCTCTCTGAAGCTGGAAATCTGACCCCAGGTGAAGGTAATCCAGACATTTATTATTCAGTGTCTCCTATATAGACTGTAAAGTTTACTTCAGCAGGCTGCAGATCAACTAAACCACCACCAGACCCTGTTGAAGCCTTTTGGTGGCAGAAGAGGTATTGGGTGCGAGTTTCCCTGTCAGAGATCTGGGTTTGCAGGGTGCCGTGCAAGGAAGAGGGGATATTTATTGGCAGCTGTTGGCAGAGCACTGAGCCACTGTACATGGAGTAACTCAGACAGGACTCTCAACAACTACTGGAAATGGATTTTATGATCCTGATTCTTCACCGTATGGATGCGAAAGCCCCAAAAGCTCAAGTTCTGCTCAAGGTCACATGGCAAATAGCTACTAGCACCGGGACTCCAGTCCACATTCATTGGCACAGTCTGGTACTGAGGGCCATGCACTCTGTGTAAGCTCAGGGGCCTGCTCTTCCTTTCCCACTCTTCCACAGAGAAGCTGGCCAGGCACTGGGGAGGACAGTGTTTCAGTAGATTTTTACCTTTGCTGCCTCACTCAATAAATGGTATTTATGTTGGCTGTTCTTCACCTCTCATTTGATTAGGCTTCGGGAAAACAAATTATATAGTCACCAGAAGACTACAAAACAGTGCATTTCTATGTCATAAAAATGCTTCCAGCCTGCTCTTGATTTGGGGTGCAAAGCGCATGTGGGTAACACAAGGTCAGTGAGGAGAGCAGCAAATGTGCTTCAAGCTCTTCGGAGAATCCCATTAATAAAAGGGTACTGTGGTTGAAGCCACTGTTGGTGATAGAGAGAGAGGACACAGACCTCCCCAGACCATCAAGCCACACTTTTGCGTGACACACACCATCCAGTACAGACAAATGGCAACTTTCAACAGATGGCCAAATGTTTGCTTCTTTCTTCTCCTTGCCCTTTTTATTACTGTCTTTTTAAATCATTTTTATTTACTTATTTAATTTTTTTTCAGTGTCCCAGAATTCATTGTTTAGGCACCACACCCAGTGCTCCATGCAATCCGTGCCCTCCATAATACTCACCACCACGTTCACCCAACCTCCCATCCCCCCACCCCTCCAAAACCCTCAGATTGTTTTTCAGAGTTCACAGTCTCTCATGGTTTGTCTCCCCCTCCAAATTCCCCCTACTCCCTTCTCCTCTCCATCTCCCCATGCCCTCCATGTTATTCGTTATGCTCCAGAAATAAGTGAAACCATATGATAATTGACTCTCTCTGCTTGACTTATTTCACTCAGCATAATATCTTCCATTCCTGTCCATGTTGATACAAAAGTTGGGTATTCATCCTTTCTGATGGAGGCATAGTACTCCATAGTATATATGGACCACATCTTTTTTATCCATTCGTCCATTGAAGGGATCTTGGTTCTTTCCAGTTTGGCAACTATGGCCATTGCTGCTATGAACATTGGGATACAGATGGTCCTTCTTTTCACTACATCTGTATCTTTGGGGTAAATACCCAGTAGTGCAATTGCAGGATCACAGGGAAGCTATATTTTCAATTTCTTTTTTTTTTTTAAAGATTTTTTATTTATTTGTTAGAGAGAGGGAGAGAGAGCAAGCACAGGCAGACAGAATGGCAGGCAGAGGCAGAGGGAGAAGCAGGCTCCCCGATGAGCAAGGAGTCCGATGTGGGACTCGATCCCAGGACGCTGGGATCATGACCTGAGCCGAAGGCAGCTGCTTAACCAACTGAGCCACCCAGGCGTCCCTCTATTTTCAATTTCTTAAGGAATCTCCACACTGTTTTCCAAAGTGGCTGAACCAACTTGCATTCCCACCAACAGTGTAAGAGGGTTCCCCTTTCTCCAAATCCTCTCCAACACATGTTGTTTCCTGTCTTGTTGATTTTGGCCATTCTAACTGGTGTAAGGTGTTATCTCAATGTGGTTTTGATTTCAATCTCCCTAATGGCTAGTGATTATGAACATTTTTTCATGTGTCTATTAGCCATTTGTATATCTTCATTGGAGAAGTGTCTGTTCCTGCCTTCTGCCCATTTTTTGACATGATTATCTGTTTTGTGTGTGTGGAGTTTGAGGAGTTCTTTATAGATCTTGGATATCAGCCCTTTGTCTGTATTGTCATTTGTGAATATCTTCTCCCATTCCATGGGTTGCCTATTTGTTTTGTTGGCTGTTTCCTTTGCTGTGCAGAAGCTTTCGATCTTGACGAAGTCCCCAAAATTCATTTTCACTTTTGTTTCCTTTGCCTTTGGAGACATATCTTGAAAGAAGTTGCAGTGGCCGATGTCGAAGAGGTTACTGCCTATGTTCTCCTCTAGGATTCTGATGGATTCCTGTCTCACGTTGAGGTCTTTTACCCATTTCGAGTTTATCTTTGTGTATGGTGTAAGAAAATGGTCAAGTTTCATTCTTCTACACATAGCTGTCCAATTTTCCCAGCACCCTTTATTGAAGAGACTGTCTTTTTTCCACTGTATATTTTTTCCTACTTTGTCAAAGATTATTTGATCATAGTTGAGGGTCCATATCTGGGCTCTCTACTCTGTTCCACTGATCTATGTGTTTGTTTTTATGCCAGTACCATGCTGTCTTGGTACTGCTTTTTAGTAAAGCTTTGAAATCAGGCAATGTGATGCCCCCAGTTTTGTTTTTCTTTTTCAACATTTCCTTAGCAATTCGGGGTCTCTTCTGATTCCATACAAATTTTAGGATTGTTTGCTCCAGCTCTTTGAAAAATGCCAGTGTCTTAAACTGTACTTTTTACTGAAGTAGAGTTGACGCATGATATTACATTAGGTTCAGGCATACAACACAGTGATTTAACTAGTTTACCCATTATGCTGTGTTTGCCACAAGTGGAGCCAACATCTGCCACCACACACACATGGTACCACTGACTACATTTCCAATACCCCCTGACTCGTTCACTCCATAACCAGAAGCCCATACAACCCACTGCCCTTCACCCATCTTGCCCATCCTCCCCCTTCCCTCTGGCAACCACCAGTCTGTTCTCGGTATTTATGAGTCTGTCTCTGCTTTTTGTTTGTTTATTCATTTGTTTCATTTTAGAATCTGCATGGAAGCTCACACTTCCTTCTAAAGGCTCCAGTGTAAACTGTTTCCTCACAGGTGGTCTCTTTTCAGTCAAGGGTCAAGGGGAGGCAGGATCCACTACGTTCATGAAAAGGCTGATAATGTTTTGGGGATGTGATCCTTATTCACTGTTCTCCAAGTCTGTTCCAATTTTGACATTAATTAAAACAGTTTTAACCTAAAACATGTTTTTCAAAAGAAGGATGCCGCTGAATGAATCAATGTCATGTGACTTCTTCCTACCTGAATGACCTGGAGTGAGACTCCCAGGTGGAAAGAGTCACTTGACTACACCAAGAATCTGGGCTGGACAATGCAGCTGGGATAATGCGGGTGGTCCCAGCATGGCAGCTGCCATTTTGTCAGAACTTAGGGTGTGCCAGCCAGTGAATCATCATGTCTGAGAAACCCTCACAAGAGACATGGACTGACACTGGAGGTCACAGAGGCTTCGGGTACAAGGGTTAGAGTGAAGGTTCAGGTTAGGGAATGAGAATAACCTGCCCAACATCACACAGTAGGAAGTAAGAATTAGTTCCCAAGTTTGTTGGGTGCAAGAACGTAGGTTTTTAAACAAATAATAATTTTTGAGATGAAGTTCACATGGCAGAAAATGAACCATTTAAAAGAGAACAGGGGCACCTGGGTGGCTCAGTGGGTTAAAGCGCTGCCTTCGGCTCAGGTCAGGATCTCAGGGTCCTGGGATTGAGCCCCACATCGGGCTGTCTGCTCGGCAGGGAGCCTGCTTCCCCCCGCCCCTCTCTGCCTGCCTCTCTGCCTACTTGGGATCTCTGTCTGTCAAATAAATAAATAAAATCTTTAAAAGTGAACAATTCAGTGGCATTTCATAGTCTCTATGCTGTGCAATGACCACCTCTTTGTAAGAGTTGGGAGACATTTTCATCACTCCAAAGTCAGACTCTCTATCCCTCTATCAGTCTCCCTCAACCCGGCCCTCCCGTGAACCGTTGGCAACAACCACGAACTTCCTTTCTGTCTCTGGAGTCATCTATTCTGGATCATTTATATGATTGCATATAAATGGAATCATACTTATGTGAACTTCTGTGTCTGGCTTCTTTCACATAGCATAATGTTTGAGATCCATCCACCTAGCAGCATGGATCAGTACTAAGAACCTGGACTTTGAGCCTCCATGCAGTGACGGTAAGAGGGAATCTTCGGGTACAACCACACTACTTGTGTTACTCCCACTAAACACTATATTTTCATAGTACCTTCTAGACCTACCCCAAAGACTCTGCTACCAGTACAGATGAGAGGGATTTAACATTCTGTGCAAAAAAGTCCCATTTTTTCATAAAGATTTTATTTATTCATTTGTCAGAGAAAGAGAAAGAGCATAAGCAGGGGGAATGATAGACAGAGGGACAAGCAAGCTCCCTAATGATCAGGGAGCCCGATGAAAGACTCAGTCCCAGGACTCCAGGATCATGACCTGAGCCAAAGGTAGACCCTTAACTGACTGAGTCACCTAAGTGTCTCACAAAAAAGTCTTAATTCAGAATGGTATTACT